GGAACACGTCAATATGCCTTCAGAGCGCGTCGCGTTACCCACTTACACGCCGCACGGTCATCGACATGGGCGTGCGCAGGGTTTCATATACAGAAAGCGAGGATTCAGCACCCCCTCTCCCCCTGCCATTAGAAGAGCCCGAAAGAAAACAACGTGATAAAGTATTTATTATTTTATTTGCTTACACAAATGCACGAGCACACAGAGAAAGGAGGGACAGAAGGCTGACAACTGCCACCTGGAGGGACGCAACGCCTTGTTGCGGACAGGGGTCTACCCGACGCTTCTCCGCTGACGTGGGTTGCCGAGACGTCAGGGTTACGTCGCACCCGGTCTATTGTGGTAGCGTGGCGCAACTTGTGGTTGAGGAAACGAACGCTGACAAGATGGGGAATCGAAAACACAAACAAGTTTATGGCACTATTTACAATTATTTATAACATGAGGTTAGGAGTTCCACAAACCATGAGCGTGGTGGTTGAACCGTTCAACCATGGTTCAGAACAACGTACAGCACTTCGTAGCGTCGTTATAAGCTTTGTCTCCTCCTTGATTGGAATACCAATCACACACACAAGGCACCGCCCTCCAGGGCATCAGTCAATAGACAGTCGGCGAATAGGGGTCGCATCTCCCAACGCAATGCTCATCTGGGCCGAGTTTCACTGGGTTCCCTCCCGGAACAAGTTGGCGGTTGGGTGGCTGCTGCTGTCATTCCCTGGAAGGGCAGCCACGGAGTAGAGACTTCAGTCGCGTAGACGCAACCTGTGCGGTCGGTCTGGCTTGCCTTCTCGCTAACCAGCCAGCCTGGAGGAAATGCTCGCAGGGACGTTGGCTCACGGACCGTCAAAGTTGCCACATTCTAATCCTTTTGTCGCTCCCCGCCACTGAACACTCGTTCCGAGAGAACTGGGCTTCTGGGCATGGGAACACTGCTCGGCTCTGCGTCTCATGGACAGCATGGCGCCCACGGACGAAGGTCACAACAGCCTGTTGACTTCTTCGGGAAGAGGAAAGCGGCAGAGGAAAGGAAAATAGGAGAGACAGGGTGTGAGAGGATCATGAGGGCCCACCTACTCCACTACCGTACCACAGGCAAAAGGAGAGACAGATGAAACAAGAGGGACTGGAAAAAAAATTGCCCGAAGCTTCCCTCGGGGGAACACTGAGGAGGATGCGGAGCATATAATTGGTTAACGGGGTGTTAAAGTGCGACTTACTTGGGTCGATGGCTAAAACGTGGTTGTGAAAGGAGGTGTTAAATTGCGACTTACTTGGGTCGATGTCTAAATTGGTTAACGTGGTTGTAGGAGGGGGTGTTAAATGAGTGAACACGTACACACGTATGCGAAAGGGCGGCGCTGGTCGAAGAGACGTCGATCATTGTGTTTGTGGATTCGTTGGCATTCATTTCACCGCGACCTTGGACGTCGACGCGCCGTACAAACCAACCGACGAGCGGCAACTGAGCGAGCGAGCGCCGACCTTGAGTATATATACAGCGCGACGGCGCATGCACTGTCAGCTGTCGAATGTTCGAGAAGGGGGAGAAGCGCAACGGCGCATGCGCGCGCGTCAGCTGCCGATGTTCTCGAAGCGCGACGGCGCATGCGCGCGCGTCAGCTGCCAATGTTCTCGAAGCGTGACGGCGCATGCGCGCTACATTATACAGCTAGCGAATGTTCGTGAAGAGGAGAAGCGCACGCGGTGTGCAGAGGAGGAAGGGTGCACAGATGGTGGAGGAGTGAAGCGCGCGCGGTGTGTAGAGGAGGAAGGGATGCACAGATGGTGGAAGAAGGAGGAGGAAGCTTGCGGACGGCGCCGCACTACAAGCCTCGAGTATTAGATGCTCCGCATCTAAAAGTGACAAAGACTCGAATAAGAATTACTAGAAACAAAACAAAAGCGCATACAAACAAGTGACCAGATCTGTTTTCGTCCATAAAAGTCAGTATAACTTGATAGGCGAAGTCACATAGAGAAGCAAAACCTCTCGGAGAGTGAATCACCCATAGTCACGCACTGAAATCCCAGGAACTCATGTTCGTTAACCAGCAAAGCTCACGGCGCAACAAATGCGAGACAGTGTGATAAAAGATGCTTAAGTGTTTCAGAGGAGCCGCAATTTGAATGAACGCTAAAACGCATGAAGCACTGACATACTGCCCACAACGAACCTTTGGTTCCCGTCGTAACGGGGCAGTAAACAACCCCGAGGTCCAAAAATTGTTACAAAGAGAAATATGTGCACTTTTGCCTTGTGATCATGCTGCCGAAAGCATTTCGCGAATACGAGCCATTACAAGAAACTTACATGGCTTCGAACCAACGTTACCAGAATCTATTCTGGTTCGTCTTGCTGCGTGTTACGTCAAGTCACCAATCAGCAACTTTGCGTCACTGCACGTGAAAGGAGGATTGGTCATGCGTAGGAAAGGAGCACGGAAACGCTTATCGCGATAGGAATATATATAATGCACAAAGAAAAATAAAAAAGTTACAAAAGCACCCACAGGGAACCATCAGGGCCACGCCGCTGATAGTGTCCCTGTCGTCCATCACAGTAAAGGCGAGCTATGTATATACAGCAATTGCCACTGGCTTACTGTCAATGGATTTCAAAGAAAAATTCATGAACAAAGCATGTGATTGGACAAGTCCTACACGCTGTCCTTAAAAATGGACGGGCCCGATGACTTGATCAGTGGAGGGGTGGATTCACTTAAGCACGCACAGTTTGGTGAAAGGGGCATTCCAAAATGTCTGGCTCCGCTTTCACTCTGAAGCAACATGAAAAATTACTCGCATCAAGACCCGGGTTCTTCGGAAAGTTGCTGGTCCTGTCGTGCCTGTGAAATCGGTTCCCATCGAAATGCGCACCACCACCATCACTTCAGAAGGAGAAACTCAACTCGCTGCTCCAGGTGAGTTGTGGTGACGCTTGAGTCGTTAAATCATCCCGCGACTACGTCGTCGCAATAGTGTACATCTGACCAGGAACCTTGCGGACAGACGTCATGAACTTCTTACTGCACAGCTTCCGTGCTGTGTACCTACAGGATGAGCCGGGGATAGTGGCTGGAGACTTCAACGTTACGTACTTCGGCGTAAAAACCAATGGCTTGTCAGGTTCTGGATGCCGCACTTGGGACTTTGCCTCCCGTCGGATGTCACGCAGTCAACAATTTACAACAACACCGGTTTTGATACCATGGTTACTGCATTATCGTCAATTCCAGCATTCATTGTTTCGACCTTGTGCAGGAACTGACTTTTTTTTTTTTTCGAAATGGAGCTTTAATGGGGCGCAAGGGAGATGAAGGAGGTAGGATGAAACTGTCCCATGAGCTGAACATAAAATTGAAGGATGCTTGATCGAGCTTCGCCTTGAAGAGTTGAACGTGATCGCGTAATCGGGCCTCGTACGCATGGCATGATGCCTGCCATGCTGTACGGGAACGAAATACTGTACGCGTAACATTGGCCATTTCAAAGTACCATCAAATGCTTATTAGATTGAGATCCCCTGATAATATCATTAGCATCATAACTGCGTAACTGTACCATAGTGTCGGTTCCTGATCACCACATCATCATAATTGCACACCTTTACCGTAGCACAGGTACCTGATCGTCATCATTGTCATCGTCATAATTGTACACCTGTTCCAAGAGCACCGCACGGTCTGTCATCCTGCGGGAAATTTTTTCGCGACAAGCGCTAGATCGCCATTTCGCCGGGGAGGAAATCGGCCATTTACGAATCTAGGCCGACAGCGAGAGAGCGGTGCCCACCGGATTCACGGCGAACAGTACATACGCACATCTAGGAAGGAATAACACACAGCGGGCGGACAGCTGCTGCCCGCGATCAATGCACGCATGGCAGCCCGATTTTCGCACGCCTCATTTCCTCTGCGCTCTCCGTGAGGGTTTTTCTCGACGCAAGCTAAACGGATAACGGAGGTTTCGCTTTCGGATAGCGCTTTGACTACGCTGTTGCTACGGGCGGCCCCCGTAGACGCGGTGTCGTCTGCATACGAGAATGTAGTCTGCTGGAAAAAGATGTTCAAGCCACGATTACGATACCACGATTTTCGTATTACGCTTTATGGATGGCGTCGGCTACCGGCTACGCTGTCGCTATAGTGGGCGCGTCAGGTGCGGTGTCGTCTGCTAGCACGATGTTCAAACACAGTTATGACCACAAATAACTAACTCCGGATACACTGAAACTGAAAGTCACGTAGTAAGCACGTACCTAGTGTTGGTATTTGCTGCAGACGAATACCGTTTTTTTTTTTTTAGGAAGTAGGAACGCGTGTATTCGCTGCAGGATAAACGTATACAAGTCGGATGTACACATGTAAACGTGTAAGCGTAGTCAGATATTTAAAGGGGTTTCATTATAACTGCGGAGAACTACCAGAGTTGCTAGTGAAATGTGGAAAAAAAAACGCTGATGCTATGTCAAAAACCAAGCATCCCTTCAAAAAAAGAGCATTTTTAAATAGTCGAACGGAGGGATTCAACACTACCGCACAAGTTGAAAAACATAACCGTTGCTTCTACCCAACAAGAAGCCCGGTCCGTGAAAACACTGACCGGAAAAAAAATAAGGAAGATCAGCAAACAAGTCACTGATAAGCCGGCAAGCAGTCAATGTCCGAAACTTCACCTGAAAACACTCCTGATTGACACATGACTGGCACTTAGTTCGTATCCAATAGCCCTTTTCCTAATAAACATGAATATGAGCGTTTGTTCCTCATCTAGGGAAACTACTGGTTATCGTGATTACTCGAATTTTTGAGATTGTGCGATGACTAGAACGCATAACGTCAGACCTGTTCGGAGTTTCTGGATTAAGTTGCTCGCACTGTCATAGATGCACATAGCTCTGGCGCGACAAACCGATCGCCATCAATGCGATACCACAGAAGCACACAAACACACACACACACAAGAAAAAAAAAAAAAAAAACGACCCCTCGACTTACCGTCGAAGTGGCGATAGCGGGTGGCGCTGTTCTGTAGTCCGAGGCAGAGCGAAATCGTGACCACCAACACGAAGCAACACAACATCGCCGAGCAGCGGCCGATCGAGGTGCCGAATGCCATCGTTTGATGTTTCATAGACGACGCGAAACACTCCAGCAACCACCACACTTCCAGCAACAGAAAGGCAGGAGACGCGCGTTTCGAGTTGATCCGACGGAAGGAAGACCGCGCCGCGAAAGTTCTGAGGGGTTCTCCCGACGAGCTGAGCGTCTTCAAACCGGTCTTATCGGTCGGTGTTCAAAGGGCGCTCGGCCCGCCTTTTTATAAGCCCTCCCGGAGAAGGCGAAGGCGAGAGACTCCCCCTCACTTAAGTCCGCGGAGAGGACGGCTGTGTTTCTGAAATCTGCAGCTTCTCTCCCGCTCACGAGTTTTTCAAGACAAAGTCGTCCGTCACACGCACTGACCAAACAGTTTCGACTTTTCCGTCGACAATAACTGCTCCTTTTTCTCAATTCTTTCCCAGTCGTCGTCTCTCGCGGCTGGCATTCGACGGCTTAGGAACGCTGCGAAAAAATGAATGTGTGGTCTCCGGCAGCCCTTGCGGGAGCCCGGCTCAACGCCTCTCTGTTTGGTCTGGGCAAACAGCGCTCCCTCCTCCAAATAAAAAGTTTCGGAAACAAGCAGCGCGCGGAACGCAGATGGGCCGATTCGCCATGGAAGTGGGTACTTTAGTGCTGAAACTCCAGCAAAACGAAACCACAAAAACCGACCAAACGAGAAAAACAGCCACTAACGCGTGTGGCAGCGCTGCACTCACTAGCGATTTCTACTCCCCATGCTTATTTGAAGTTTTTTTTTTTTTGTCTTCGGCGATGCCGTCGGAGCCGATTCGAAGCGCTCTGACAATGCGAAAACTTTCGAAGGCGCAAACGATTAGTTAGCAGCACGTTTCAACTTTGAAAAACGTGGCTTCAGCGAGCGACAACTCAAACACGAATGATCAAACCCTAGCCTTCGTGATTGCGCGCTGCTAAACTTTGCAGCGCACTATCTCGAATGCCGTAATAATACGCGCTCAACGCGGTAGATGCCCACCAGGTTCACCACAAGCGTTGCCATCACGAGAGACTTCGCGAAGGCGCGAGTGACTGCTGCGTTTCGAATATGCCAAATATACATATACACACTAATTTAGGACCAGCTTGCAGCTATGTCACCACGCGCGTAAGCAATAAATTCAAAAGTTCGTACAGTTTTTTTTTTTGCTTAACTATCGGTACGACTCTTCTGTCCAGCGAATCACCATTTTATGAGCGAGAACATCACACGAATCTGAAATATAATGTGACGTATATAATGTTGAAAGCAACAGAATGCATAAAAAGAAAAGATAGCATTAAGAACCAGTGTCGTGATAACTTGAGGCGATTTGCAGACCAAAATGCTGTAAAGCTTAGAGCGAACTCGTGCAGGGAATAAAATATGTTGAATTCTAATGAACAATTAAATTTATCCACTTCAAGTGTCCTATTTGGATATTTTGGGCTTCACTGTTCAAGTGTTTGGTAAATGATTAAGTTCAATGAAGTCGATGACAATGCCTGTGCAGTGTATTCAAGATATCTCCCGAAAGGTAACGGGTACCCGTAGTATACACCATGGAACAGTTGGCATTTAGCACCCATCATCATCATTGCGAAGAGCCTCATCATTGGCACACTAAGCGCGAAGGAAAGACTACCTACACAACGTCACGCGGGCTTTAGAGTTGGCTTCCTTTCAATGCTACTATGTTTTGTGGTGGAAACTAATCATGTGCACAGTAGCCACTAATACAGGCACAGAACTTGGACCAAGAACTTACACAAGCAAGCATGCAACAGTAGCGTACATCAGGCTTAACCACGGTAATAACAACGCATATGTCCAATAGGGTAATGCATACAACAGGGTTCGGCAACCTTTTGTGGCGTAGGTCCAAGTTGCATTATGCTGGCAAGGCCAAGGGCTGCACGGCCAATATGTGTGTGTGTGTGCGTGTGTGAGAGAGGGGATTTGCAGGCAAAAAAATTTGGTGAATTTAAATGACATACAAAACTGCTAATGTTCTTGAATACTGGCTAAATTCTGCCGAAGTGTGAGGATGTGGCACAATTTGAAAGTGAAGCGAGCTTTCTTTGTTTGTGTACGTGTAACGCCCGTTCGATGTCAAAAATGTCATAGTAAAAGTCGACCTTCTCCCCACTTCCTCTGTTCCCATGAGCAAAGCTCTCCCAGCTGCGTAGCGGCTGTTGCTATAGAAGCGAGTGGAAGGTTGGTTGCATGGTGTCCGTCCTGTCTTGTCTTGTCGTTGCTGCTTGTCAAGGATGGAGACCAGCGCCTTTCGATACGTTACTCGACTTTATGTACAGGAACTTATGTACAAATTTACAAGACCCTTGACCGTTGGAAGCGTCGCACGTTGCCTCGGCAGAGCCGATAGTGCAGAGCACTGTTTGCTGCGACTAGAACGATCGTGAGGAAACGGGAGCCAGATTTTAACCCCTCAATTGCCCCTCCCAACTCTTCTCACCGCCAACCAAAACAATTCAGTCCGTTTATTGGACAGAGTAAACATACTTGTTGCACTCCTCTCCTCTCGCTCTCTTATTCAAGCACTCGACCTCTCGGTTGGAGAGAGAGAGACGAAAGGACCGGCCTGCACAGGACCTTCCGCAAACTGTGCGAACGCACACGATGGTGGCGCTGTTCGGCTGCGGGCCCACGTCATTACTGTGAGATGACTAGGCTGTCCAGCGTGACAGCTGTCTTGCGGACTCAAATCAAGATGGATGGGTGTGGATACACCGGATGTCTTCCCGTCGCCTGCTGGCACACTGCTGGCCGGTGACCACCTAGCCGGTTGTTAAAAGCGGCGACCGACCGCAATCTTCTTACTAGAACGGGTGTCCATATGTCGGGATTATCGTTTCCCGAGAACCGGCTTCTAGGAAAGCACACTCTTTTGCGACAAAGAAGACTCACCCCACCTTTGCCTGCGACGCCAGACCTTACAGTCATGTCAGCCTTCAGATAGGTCGTGACATGGATAGGGGGGTTTCGATGTGCCAGGAGCCGCATTATACTTCCTCACGGGCCATAGGTTGCCGGCCCCAGGTGTACGCCATTCGCGCAGCTGAATTAGATGGTAGGAAGGGGGGGGGGGGGGGTCAACACTGCCACATCGATTTTTAAGTTCTGCATTGTGCACGAATATATACATACATACAAACCCATGCACAAATTTGCGTAAAGCATACATACGAAAAGCTTTCTGGCTGCGCCCCTGGTGTGCACTATGTGAACCTTGACATGACAGGTAAGGCAACCACGTAGCTCTCTGTCATTCTAAGGATTAAGGTTAGAATCAATGGTGATAACAACAGCACATAACTTCACCACTGTCCAATTTCTCAGTTTTGTCCAGCAGTTGTATTCCAAGTAGATTTGGCTTCACGGTCAGCAATCTACTTGTGAACACAGCAGTCACATATAGGATTGAATGCACAGAAATTACAGAAAGCACAAATTAAATGGGTACAGCATTGCCGTGCAGAGCCTGTCTCAGTGAGCTAGTGACACAAATTTTTTAATGAAGGTTTAAAAAAAGCCCATACCCAAGTGCATTTCCAGCAAAGCTTATCTGCTTTTTATCTACAGTAATACTGGCTGCACAAAACTTTTCAGTACAACGCTTCCAAATGTGTAGTTACAAAAGGCACATGAAGAATATGACCTGACAAAGAATTGTCACTATTTTAATTTGTTTATAAATGTCATGCATGCAGTATTCCTGTGTAGCATTACAGGCAGGCAGTAAGGATAGGTTAAATATTACACATTTAAAATATAAACATTTCATAAACAAGAGGGCATGTAATGAGTAGTTTTTCGTGTGGTGAAAATACAAGCCACCTTACTTTTCAAACTGCATTCACTTTTAGAATTAAAATTTTTTCAGTTTCCTCAGTTCCCATACATATCTCTGAAGGAGCTGTAAGTACACCTCAGCTCTGAGATATGTTGCTCACCAGCTTGCTAACAATAAAAGCAATAATTCATGCATATTTACAAAGTTAGCTAGACTACAAGAATGAAGGCACTCAGCTTATCCTGTTATAAAGTTTCAGAGTATTTTAATATCTCACTTCACGTCATGGCTAAATTCATTTCGTAGTGTTGATGAGATAACAGTGCAACAGTCAGACTTTGAAGGCAGCCAATTGCTCAAAGTCAATTACTATCTTCTTTGTTTCGGGAACATGCTGCCTGAAAAAAAAGAAGTGAAACACAAGCTCAGTGAATGTTCATTTTGGTGAAGAGCAGGCCCTTAGCCAGGAATTTTTTTCAAGGTGGAAGGTGGAGGGGGTGGATATTTGAAGGCCTTCACTTAAAGCCCCTACAATGGAGTTGCTGCTGCTTTTACTATCTAGTGCCAGCCACTCTTTCATGGTCACGCCCTAGTTATGGTTACTGAGCTTCTGGAAAGAGGTTACTAAGCAAATTCTTTCCTCTTTTTCTTCTTTCCTAATTCTGAACACGCATGTGCACACCTGAAAAAACAAGTAATTTTCTAGCCCGCTCCACAAAAGTTCTTAGAAAATTCATCCTACACTGGCGCCGAATGTCACCTCCGTGCTGCACACCAGGCTACCCAACACAGAGACGTTCAACTGACTAGAACCTGTTGTTGGGTCAGTTGGTTTATTCTAAAGGAAGGTGAAAGATGCAAACCACGTAGATAGAACAAAAAGGAAGGGGACAGTATACAGCATTATGATCCTGTCCCCTTCCTTGCAACATGCGAAGAAGAGAAAAAAGTTGTCTTGAATAGGTAATGAAAAATGCTGGAATGAGGGAGAAGAAGAGGAAAAAGAAGAGGGCGCGAGGCGAGGGAGGAACGTGAGAGCCGGGACGTGCCGTTCGAGGGGCCAAGGGCTGCGGAAGTTCGGACTGGGTCTCGCTCCAGGCTCCTGCCCGAGCACCTGACTTGGCGAGCAGCGCAAGGAAGTACCGCTGCCCCTGGACGGCAATGGTTCTCGCCCGAGCACCTGACTCGGCGAGCAGCTCACGGAGCAACCGCTGATCCTGGATGGCAGTTTCCCGCCCGAGCACCTGCCTCTGCGAGAAACCACTGGAGCTACCGCTGTAGTGATTCGTCAACATCGTCGCCACCGTTGAGCATCGATATGGCGTGTCATCACGCCTGAGAGGGACTCCCAGTAGACCGGAGGCCACGCCACAACTGTAAGCGCGAGAACAAGAGAGCGCCAACGGAATCGGACGTTGAAACGCGCGTCATTAAGACATCTCCTTTTCTGTGTTTTTCAATGTGTGCGTGTTTGGGTTGTGGTTTCGTTTTGTGATTTTCATGGTAATGGTGTGGTAGTTTTCATTTGGTACCATCAGCCTTTATGGTTCATTTCGCAACGCCCGACGAGCGAACCAGGCCTCAGCATATACGCGTGACAATGGTGAGCCTGCCAGAATCCATGTAACTTTGTTACATGCCTAAGTATGTCGGGAGCCGTGAAATGGATCTGGAACGCTTGATGACAGCCGGTAGTGCTGCGGGATTATCGGCTGAGGCTATACTGACGCTTTATCATGAGGAACGGAAAAGATTACGTGAAGAGCGTGCAGAGGCACGAGAGGCCGCGAAAGAAGATGAAGAGCGAGCGAAAGCCGCAGACGAGCGAACTTATAAAAACTTAATGTTGGGAAAGGAGCTCACTGAAAAGAAATTGCAGTTGCGCGCAAGCACAAGTGTGGAAGTACCAGATAGGTCAGAGATGGTACCCCAGCCACCAAAAGTGAGTCCGCGTAATTTAATCGCACCTTTTGACGAAAGGCGAGATGACCTCGACGCTTATATACAGCGGTTCGAGAGAATAGCGATAGGACAAGGCTGGCAGAGGAGTGATTGGGCGACTGGATTGAGCATGTGCCTTGCGGGAGAGGCATTGGCTGTTTTTATTTGAATGCCAGCAGCGGATGCGCTAGATTATGACAAGGTCAAAAGGGCTCTGCTCCAACGCTTCAGATTAACTGCCGAGGGTTTCCGAGAGAAATTCCGGAGCTCAAAACCACAAGAAAATGAGACAGGCCAGCAGTTCGCTGCTCGAATCTCCAATTACTTCGATCGGTGGTTGGAGATGGCTAACATAGAGAGATCATTCGGGGATCTAAGAGATCGCATGATTGCGGAACAATTCCTGGCATCGTGTCACAAGGGAGTGGCAATATTCCTAAAACAGCAGAACTTGAAGACGGTGGCTGAGCTTTCCGAACACGCCGACCATTATTTGGAAGCTCAAGGTCAAAGGAATCTAGGGAAAGCCCAAGATGAGAAAGGTTTGGAGAAGAAAGAGCAAACGCGGAGTGCAATCAAATGCTACCTCTGTGACAAGACTGGGCATAGAGCAGCAAATTGTGCCGTGGGTCGCACTCACAGTTCATCGTCGAAATGCGACCTGTGCGGAAAGCGTGGGCACACAACAGAAACCTGTCGTGATCGGTCAGGAAATAAAACGGCTTGCGTGGTTGCAGATGAAAGCTCTGCTGATGCTGACCGGGAAAAACAATGTGACCAGGAGGACAAGGAGAAGACAAGTGCTGTTACGGTATCTGTCAAGGCGGGAGAAGCCGAAGATGCTATGCCAGTGGTCGTGGGGATGTTGCACAGACGTAAAGTGTCGGTACTTTGAGACACGGGCTCCAACATTGTACTTGTAAGAGAATCCATGGTGCCAGACACGGATATAACGGGAACAGAAAAGCCGTTTCGGTTGGCTGATGGAACAGTACGGCGGATGCCAGTTGCTAGGGTACTGATTTTGTCGCCGTATTACTGCGGTTGGATTGAAGCCCGATGTGTCAAAGACCCCCTTTATGACGTAATTCTCGGTAATATGCCAGGTGTCAGAGGAATTGACGATCCGGATCCCCTCTGGAGATTGCCTACTACAACGCGCGCTGAGGGTACGGAGTTGCAACCTCATAAGGTTATGTATAAACGTGACGAGAGATGTGTGGATCAGCATACCAGGGAAGATTCCGCCTATGCCGTGGAGAAAGCTACGAGGAACAAGAGTAAAAAGGAAAAGGAGGGCATCAAGGAGAACAACTCAGTAGCAGCCATGGACATAACTGCAGCGGAAATGGGGAGAATGCAGGAAGCGGAAAATACGCTGCGACGGTGTTTTGAGATTCAGGGCAAATGGATCTATTGTAAGAGGAGTTGGGTCGTGCATAAGTTTGAGAAGCTTTCAGGGCTGTTGTACAGAATAGTCAAGACCCATGAGGGAGGGGAAAAGAGACAGTTAGCAGTGCGGGTGAGTTTACAAAGGGCTGTGCTAGGCTTGGCACATGACACTATTATGGCGGGCCATCAGGGAGTAAGAAAGACAACTAGCAGGGTCGCTGAAGAGTTTTTTTGGCCGTGCATGCAAAGCGACATTAAAAGGTTTGTGCGATCTTGTGACACATGTCAGAGAACCACACCAAAAGGTTTGGTCTCGAAGGTACCTTTGAGAACAATGCCTATTATTGAGCAACCTTTTCAAAGAGTCGCAGTGGACATCGTAGGACCTATAAAACTAGTGTCCCACAGAGGAAACTCCGTGCGGACACATACCTAGTATCATTGTTTTATTGCTGATGTGGGGTGACAATGAAGTGTGACTGTGACTCACGAAGATGGATCTGCGTGTTAGTGTAGGCAAGTCTAGTGGTGCCACAGTGGATTTAAGTATGCTGAGCAGTGACGTGACGTGATGCGCCGTGAAGTGAAGTGTTGTGCGGTGAAGGGAAGTGCCGAGATGTGCCGTGAAGTGAAGTGCTGTGTCGTGCAGGAAAGTGTTGTGTGGTACAGTGAAGTGTATGGTGCTAGTGGAGACGACAGTTTTCGTGGAGCGAAAATTCAAAAAATTGGGGGCCATTGTCAAGAATGACAAGATGAAGAAAAGAAGAAGAGAAAGAAGTTGTCTTGAATAGCTAATGAAAAAAATGCTGGAATGAGGGAGAAGAAGAGGAAAAAGAAGAGGGCACGAGGCGAGGGAAGAACATGAGAGCCGGGACGTGGCGATCGAGGGGCCAAGGGCTGCGGAAGTTCGGACTGGGTCTCGCTCCAGGCTCCCGCCCGAGCACCTGACTCGGCGAGCAGCGCAAGGAAGTACCGCTGCCCCTGGACGGCAATGGTTCTCGCCCGAGCACCTGACTCGGCGAGCAGCTCACGGAGCAACCACTGATCCTGGACGGCAGTTTCCCGCCCGAGCACCTGCCTCGGCGAGCAGCTCACAGAGCAACTGCGGATCCTGAGCTGCAGTTTCCGCACCGACCTCGGCGAGCAGCCCCGGAACCACCGCTGCCCCTGGACGGCAATGGTTCTCGCCCGAGCACCGACCTCGGCGAGCAGCCCCGGAACCACCGCCGACCCTGGTCTGCAGTGTATCCTGCCCGAGCACCTGCCTCGGCGAGAAACCACTGGAGCTACCGCTGTAGTGGTTCGTCAACATCGTCGCCACCGTTGAGCATCGATATGACGTGTCATCACGCCTGAGAGGGACTCCCAGTGGACCGGAGGCCACGCCACAACTGTAAGCGCGAGAACTAGAGAACGCCAACGGAATCGCACGTTGAAACGCGCGTCATTAAGACATCTCCTTTTCTGTGTTTTTCAACGTGTGCGTGTTTGGGTTGTTGTTTCGCTTTTGTGATTTTCATGGTAATGAAGTGGTAGTTTTCGTTTGGTACCATCAGCCTTTATGGTTAATTTCAGCAACGCCCGAGGAGCGAACCAGGCCTCAGCATATACGCGTGACAGCCTCCAAGAAAAATACTATGGATGGAACGTTGCCAGATTTGCCATTAGAGGAACGCTGCCACACGTTTCGAGCAGATGCTGTGTGATGGTATTAGCGACTGTACCACCGAAGCCGACAAGATCGACGATGTCGGCAATGTTGTGTTGATGGAGCGGCACAGCTGACTGCTTCATTCAAGTGGTTGGTCACGCATTCTTGAAGCGCATTGGAGGAGCACCAGTTCAACAGATCCCACTAATTTATTTGCAGAAAATTTCAGCTGGAACTTCAAAGCTTTTTGCGAGATGGTTTCTCTTTCAAGCAGCTTTGCGGCAGCATTCCTTTTGGTTACTTCTAACTGCACACTAAAGCAATACGTGTTGAGCCCGATCACATGTCGAAATTGCCTTGAGTCACTGGTCACGCAAACTGCTCTACAAAGGTATGTGCCACTCTTTTCCCTGAGGCTCGATGAGCATTTGGGCACACAGCAAAACTGACATATTGCAAGATGTTTCAGCGCGCGAACAAAGGAAAAAGGACAGGGTAGACAGAAAGAGCGCTGACTTCCAACTAACTTTATTTGACAGAGTGCCAAGAATATATACTGCTAAAAAGGATGATAACAGAGCATGAAGGTAAAGGCACGCCTAATCTACACATCAGTAACAAACACGTGTGACAGGTCCTCTATTGCCTCAAAGCCCAGCTAGGTAATCACGTTCAGCCTGTGATAAAGCAATCGATGATGTGCTTACACATTTATCTCCTAGCAAGTGTATTTTTTCGGCTTCAATAATTTCTCGTGTAAGCTGATCCCTGTGCCTTGCCAATATTGAGCACTGATCAAAGAGAGGGGTGCACCCACAATCTCGGCAATGAATGCCAAGATGCCCTTGCATTCATTGCCGAGATTGTGGGTGCACCCCTCTCTTTGATCAGTGCTCAATATTGGCAAGGCACAGGGATCAGCTTACACGAGAAATTATTGAAGCCGAAAAAATACACTTGCTAGGAGATAAATGTGTAAGCACATCATCGATTGCTTTATCACAGGCTGAACGTGATTACCTAGCTGGGCTTTGAGGCAATAGAGGACCTGTCACACGTGTTTGTTACTGATGTGTAGATTAGGCGTGCCTTTACCTTCATGCTCTGTTATCATCCTTTTTAGCAGTATATATTCTTGGCACTCTGTCAAATAAAGTTAGTTGGAAGTCAGCGCTCTTTCTGTCTACCCTGTCCTTTTTCCTTTGTTCGCGCGCTGAAACATCTTGCAATATGACTACGCACCAACTAGCCCAAGTTTCCACTCTTGTGAGCAAAACTGAATTTCAAGACAAGGTGGACACACAGCTCGAAAACAAGTCACCTTTTCCATGAACGCGCAAAATCAAGGCAAAAAAAAAGCTCCCCCCGAGTAAGCATTGTAGCTTTTTCCTCGCGCGTTTATTTCTCTCGATGTCTGTTTATTTGTGCAGAATTGTTTTCAACTCGTTTTCGGCATTGCGTCGCTAGCATATTTGCAATGCATTTCGTCGCACTCTAGTTAGATCATCTCCTCCATTGGCTTCAACAACGCTGGCATTCATTCTGCCTATGCACGCAGCGTTGTCTGTTCGAGTTACCAATGGCGCCCCTGCAGGTTGAAAGGACTCGCCATGACATGCTCTAGCGACTGTACTGGGTGGAAAGGAGAAAATAGAAAGGGTAAGGCGGCGCTTTTGCGGCTCACGTCGCAGGCATAGTCTTTTCTAGGAGGCATCGGCAGTGCTTAACAATAAGGTTTTCATAATAAGCATTCAAATCAGTCTGGCGTTGGAGGAAGGTGTGTCACTTCAGGCAGACCAAGCGAGCATAATTTTACACCAAGCCCCCACATGGCCCCTCACATTCATCCGGCTCACTGTCTTGCCTTTTCGCCGCGCCAACGTTGTGGCCTTGTGACAAAAGCACATCTTCAGTGCATTGCATGAAACTTCAAACAGCACACGTCAAGGAAGCCCTTCCATTGGGCAAGAGAAACTCGTGCAGTTGCAGTGCCTGTGCCCGTACACGTATCCCTCGTGCACTGCTATTTTCATTATTTTCAAGACGAAACATTTTGCTACACCTGTACTAGCGTGCATAATGACAGCTCGTCAGAAATGTAGGCCCACAGCAGGAAGGTTGCGGAGACAGCAGAGCCAGAGCCGCAGGCCATTTTCCTGGGGGTAACGGGTGGCCGCATCTGTTTTTCTTCCTCCAAGAATGTACCAACTAAACAAGCAGCAGAAACATCATGGTAGTACTTCTATATCCTCTGGGCGGGGAAAAGGCATAAACGTAGATAAGGAGGACGAGTTGACGCTACTTAACCTAGCCAGCTGAAAACACATGGAGGGGCTTTGTCTCGACTATTTGTGAAAAATGCCTATTTCTGTTATTTATTCTGAGTATGACACATCCCCTTCATATTTTCCAGGCTGAAAAGGTTGCCTAAGTACCACTCCCTCTCCTCTGGCTAGGGGCCTAGTGAATAGGCTTCAAAGAAGTAATGTAACAAATTGGGCAAGTTGGAACATAGTCATGACTGTCAGTGCGAAAAAGACACAAGAAAGTACAGGACACAAGCACTGTCTAACTGAATGTTTCAAAGCAAAAAACATGGCATATATAAACTGAAAGGAAGGCACTAACAAAACCTCATCAACCCCAACAAAATGTGTGATTATGTATGCTGTAGATACGAAACCTCAGATTCAGTGAGAGCGAGGGGCAAAGCTCTGAGCTCTACTTCTGAAGCCCCAAGAAATAACGTCTTGCGATTCCTGGATCTTTCATTGTGGTTCCAGAGGGACCATGTTTGCTGGTCTTATTTAACCCATTTCACAGTATCACGTTTATGCTATCGCTCTGCATGTGCTTGTGCAAGATACTGTGATGTTTTTATGGCAGCTCCACCCTGTAGCTCCACTGGTGATGTACAAGTGACCATTTTGAATGCTCTGGTCACACACGAATGGCCATTTAAGATGATTTCATACCCAATGTCATCACAACTAGTCAGAAAGCTGTGCGAGGTCACCAGAATCAGTACTGTAGCCTGAAGTCAAGCTACTGTTCACGTCAGTAGGGGTGCTAAGTGGAAATTGACTTCATTGTCAGAACACAATATCTTATCAGTATCTGCTGAGCTACAGACTTGCTCAGAGCCGTCTCTGCATATAGGCAATTTGTATGGCAGAGTAAGCTCGCCTTCAAGAAATTGTGTTCGTACCTCTTTAAGAGCATGTGCAGCACCTTTTTTTCTAAAGGAGAAGAAGAAAAGCAAAAGAAAAACATAGCAGTAAGCTAACCTGAAGTTAACACCAGCTTTTGTGAGAATGAGTCTGGATGCAACGTAGGTTGGGTCTTCGGGGTGCTTGTCGCAGAGGAAGACCACCTGCCGAATTCCAGACTGGACCACCATTTTGGCACACTCGTTGCATGGAAAGTGTGTAGTGTAGAGCGTGCAGCCACGCAATTCAAAGCAGTTGCGGTTAAAAATGGCATTCATCTCAGCATGGCAGACTGCAGGGAAGCGAATGAGTGGGAGGGGTGAGGTGTCAACAGCAGGTAGACCAAACGGTAATGAACAGCACCGCACTTTGCATTCAAGGTAACCTACCACAAAAATCTTGGGCAGCATTTGTACAAGGCTTAAACACACAAAAGAGAAGCAATGACTTGGTTTAGATTGAAAAACTGCACTCGGAGAACTCTAAAGCCATATGTTTCACTATCATAGATTCATTATTAGTGGAAATAATCAAGGTTGAAGTTTCATTTTTAAATTTTTCACTGTAATCTTGGCACGCGACGTAACGAAGTTCAGAATGTGTTTTTCGTATTTTTGCAATATTGGCTGGATAAAATTATTTTTGGAACACCGTATGCTAGGTCTATGGAATCCACAGGTATGGAATCCACAGGTACTCCATTTTTATCGATTAGAAGCTACAGAGGACCCAGTAGATGCCTTCGAAAATTGATGACGTTGCGATGTTTGGTGCGGGAATGTCGAGGTGGCGTCTCCACCTGCATTTTCTTTTTGCGTGTATTCTCGCTTACCAAGCGTCATGTCACAATAAGAGTGGTGTTCTTGGGATCGGAAAATTGTACTTTACTAATACACGAAAAAGCATTTTGCTCTTTAGTGTCCCTTTAACTCATAGGGACCCTGTGACACTTTTCCAAGTGACCATTGAATGACGTCATTAAAGGAGCCTATTACCTCAAGAATTGACAGCCACAAAAAAATCTTAGAATCAGTAAAACATGAGTTAAGTCACAAGGGTCTGTCGAATGATCTTGAACCAGCAAGTGCACTGAAAACTAAGCAGGAGTGATTGATAAGGGAGGCAGAGGGCTACGCTCGTTTGTCAGTGCGTGTCATGATCCTCAGCCCTTCCTTTTCTGTTTCCTTTTTTTGAACATGTGGCTTATCTCCTGTGTGATCACAAGTGTGCTGGTGTAATTTTATAATAGCAGCTGCAGTAATATATGCATTTCACAACTCTTAAATCATACAATGGCTGTAGACTGTGTTTGTGATGTCATTTAGATTATGGCATCATTCGTCGAGAAAAAAGAGCACGATTTATGACTCTGAAAATTAATTCAGAGTTTCAGGTCACATTGCTCGCTATAGTATTTGCCTCACATGTTCTCAGGAGGACATGTTGGTGGGCTAGCTGGGGCTTACTAATGCACTCAAACCCCAATATAACGAACCCAGACATAACGACTTATCAGTTATTACAAAGCAACTGGAGAACAGCTCTGTCACACTTACAGTGCTACAAATATATGTTTATAAGCTATTTTCGAATATAACGAATCATTTTTGTGGCAGGTGTGACCTTGTTATAATGGGGTATGAATGTAGTCATGGTGTAGCACAAGGACACAAGGCAAATGGCTGCATCAATGACAGGCGCACGAATAAATTTGAATAAAAACATCAATGTGCACCTTTCAGTGCATTGCAAAGCCCACACAAGTACTCCACGGTCTCATGATGTGAGAATCCTGGGTATAAGTAAAGATAGAATGGCACATAAACTTACTTTCAGAAGCATTTTTTATTCAGGAAAGGAGTAATGATTGCATTAGTCAGACATCTGTCATCTTGTTTGCTGCGATACAGCCGTTCTTTCAGCCAAGAAATAACACATCAATATGTGTTATTTTTGCCTGGTGCCTCCTGCGGCCAGCTAGATGTCACTTGCACGCCTGCACGCTCGTAGCAGTATATATTCTGTATTTCATCAATTTTTCATTAAAGTCATAAGCATGACCTGTGCAGTATGTTTCTGCATCTCTCTTTTGTGTTCTTGTGCTATAACATTATTATTATTGTTCTGAGCAGCAAAATTAACACTTAGAACACAGAAAGACACCAAACCACGGACATTTCTTTCATTTAAGCACACGACTGCTTACAGAAGAAGATGAGAAGTAAAAGAAAGAAAAGCTATCACTGAAGGTCTGCCCTTTCTGCAAATGATTCAGAAGGTGTTAAGAACCTTAGAGGTCACTGAGCATTACCACTTACACGTCACGGCTCCTGTAGCAAGCTAATTATCAAATGGGATATAGTGCATAACTAATTACATGTACTAACTGGTTGCTTGTAATCCATTATATTTTTGCAGTTCTGTTTGTAATTGTAAAATTACCTTAGTCTAGCCATGAAAAAATCCGTACAGCCCCAACCCGGTGGTCTAGAGGCTAAGGTACTCGGCTGCTGACCCGCAGGTCGCGGGTTCGCATTCCTGCTGCGGCGGCTGCATTTCCGATGGAGGCGGAAATGTTGTAGGCCCGTATGCTCAGATTTGGGCGCACGTTAAGGTGGCGGTTCTACTGTCGCCATATTGCGAGTAGTTCTGGAAAAAATACCAGACGGCGCCACCAAGTCAGGACTGGAAGGCCAACATTTCGGAGGTGAACTGCCACACGTGTGCCGGCGCCCCACACTGCATGACGAGGGGGTGCAAATCGCGCTGACACGGTTCGAAGAAATGAGGCACTGAGCAGGGGCTTTTTTTTTTCTCCCCTTCAACGACACCTCCATCTCTCTCTATGCTCACTAGCCCCTGACCCCTGCGGTCGCTGCTTTTCAAGAGATCCCTCATGTAGGCTGCGTAGCCTGCTTGGCCAGCTGCTCTACGTTCCATACAGTGCCGGAATGCGGGGTTGAGTGAAAAACTCTATCGCGGAGGTCACAACAATGTATACAATGGAGATCAAAACTTGGACTATGAGTATTCATCATGCGAGGTTCAACGGAACAGTTCGTTCTACAAATAATTGAGGTTGCTGGAGCATGATGCGGTTCGGTGGGACAGGAGAAGACAAATTATATTTGACTATGTATACTTCCTTCCCAGTATGACCTAAGCTTCCTAATTTTCAAAAAAAAACAAAAAAACGGGTAGTTAGGCAAATCGCATGCTAAGAAGTGCGGCCGCTGTGACTCACGGTGCCCAACACGTGCCGACTGCATAATCATTAGTTTTCCCCACTATACGTAGCGTAATTTATTTCATTAGAATTGAAACTTCAGCAGGCTAGAATGAATTCATGATTTGGTTGATGCAGCGTTTATTTATCACGTTGCCATACGCAAACCATCCGACTAGTCGACAAACTATTTTTATGACGAAAATGAAGCAATTACCTCTTGTGTGTCATATGAGCGAGACTCGCACATGCGTGGCCTGAATGGTCCAGGTGCGTTATTCCCTTGTCCAAGGAACGACTTTTCTATTCGCGTACGCTATTTCAACATCATTTTTTTTTTTCCTGTAAAGGTCGTGGCAATAACATGAAGAGTGATCGTTTCGCCCAAATCAGTTATTGACTGCAAGCTCATAGATTTGAGGCCGTTACCTCAAGCTCTATAAACATCTCATGATAAAAACTGGGGCGGATTCACACAAACCTCCCAGGAGTGCAACAAGGGAGGGGAAGACTTATGGTACAGTGCATCTCCCATGCATCTTTCTACACAGCCGCTGCTTGTATTACTTCTATGTCGTACCCATTCCGAGTTCGTAAAGCGCATGCAAGGCAAAAACATGAGTACACAAATACAATAGTTGCAAAGGAGTTGAAGAAAAGGTCTTGTCGCACTGGATAAGGCTTTTGGATGCATGATTGGTCAATTCAAATAACTATGCCAGCTAACATATCTTCAAGCAACGAGTCTTAGTGTTGTGTATATGCTATGCAATGAAGGGCTGTCATGCAGTAAGCAAGATTGAGTCAATACACGTTGTTGTGACAATTTATATAGTACGAAACGAGCGTCGGCAGCACTTGGTTACAGCCACGAAGACACCTGAACATCACACACACAAAAAAGCCCGCAGAACTACAACGCATACATTCAGAGAAATGTGAAATCGCACAAAGCAAAAGTACATATAATCACGACTTTCGGATGCGAACTTGTGACAGCAGAGAATGAAGGTGTATGTTTTATTATCATTTCCCGTTATCCTATATCACACACGAAATTTTTACAAAAGTTCATTGGCGCTTCTGTGCTCATGTCTCTCGGTCATTGCTGCTGCAGAACGCACGTGAATGGCTGATGACGCACCCGACACAAAGAAGTGAATTGCTACCTCATAGCTTGTTCGAGAAAGAGTCTTTGCTATCGTCAAATCTGAGCCTGCATCTGCCATTCGATATATACAAGGTTGTTCTCCAAATGTGCAGTTCTTTAGAGCGAAGCTCTTACGCACATACTGCTGCATTGAGCGGCGGCGCCAGTTGGCGTCGTCGGCGTAACCAATAGAGCGAACAAGGACGAAAGAGAGCGAGCGCGGAGTCTGCTGATGTCACTCGCCACTGGCCTCTAACCTCGCCTTCTTCCTCCGTCACGCTCGCTAGCCCCCCCCCCCTGGTAGCAGCTCGCACGCGTGCAGGGCTGGCACGTGCACTGCGGCTGGCTTCCCTTGTCGTAACGGGGCTCTCGGCATTTCGCTTGGTTCGCGACGCCTGCAATGCACAAAGTGGCATGCGTAATGCTCGAGCACTGGCAATTTGCGTGGAAATATGTAAATAGCTACAACTGCAGATGGCCGAAACTACAGACGCACTTGGCGTTGCCCCAACACGAAAGTGCGTTCAAAATCACCATGCATTTAGATAGCATCGTCACAATTGGTGAATTTCTTGACAGTGCACGCGCCCAGCAGTCCTACGACTCAAGGCTGTGGAAAATGTCCGAGTCGCCACTCTGCTTTGCCTCCTTGTTCTTCATCGAAGCTCGTTTAGACTGCTGGTGTGACTCAATTGCTTTCACATTCCACTGTGGTCTGCGTATGGGCATGCTGCGCGTAGTACGCGGATCTACAATTTCAGGTAACATGCAGTCTCTGTAAAATCTGATTAGTTGTGGAAGCATTCTGAATTTCCAAAAGTCATTATCTCTTTCGATCCGCTGTACGTGGATGCCCTTCGACGTGCAGACGACGAAGTGGCAGAAACTTCTTTTAGTGATATGCAGTTGGCCTTGC